CCGGATTGAAGCTATTGGACATAATTCACAATTTTATTTTATTTTATTTGTTTATTTTTTAAAATTAATTAATTTATTTTTTTATGAAAATAGATTTGGTAAGAATTTATTATGCATCCAAACTAGTTGCATTGCATGGATGAAGACAGATTATTGGTCACTGAATAGATTGTTGCAAGGGCAATTTGGACGTTTTAGCATGCATGCAAAAAAAAAAATGCCTTCAGTAGATCATATGTACAAGGTCATTTCATTTACTCTGGAAGAAACTTGATGAATTCAGTGTTCTTGTTTAAACACATTTACCCAGTCTTAAATCATAAAATGTGAACTTTGGGAACTTTTCTTTCCCAACCAATTATGACAATCTTTTTGCTTCATTTAAAAGGAAGTATCGGATTGCACAAGATTTATTTCTTTTTCCTTTTAAAAATGGATATCATATTTGTTTGGCACTTTCTACAGTCGATTTTCCCAGTTGAGCTTGCTGCAGTTGCTTATTCCTTTGGATGAAAAAGATAAGAGAGAGCAGTTCAAAGTGAATTGAGTTATAACTGTAATAAACAAAGTAAAGAACAGATGAAGTGGATGCTAGGAAATGGTAGCTTAAATTAAAGCGCCCTAGTTTGCATTGACCAAGTTAACACCTGGGACAATTGTTAGACCGGAAGTGAAGGAAACCAACAAAATATTTCAAATGGAAAATATTTTGTGATAAGATTGCTTATGGAAACTGCAATCAAGCTCCTAAGATTAATTTCAAAATCTCCAAGTCTGAACTTCCTCATCAACCCCATATAAACTTGAATTTTGGGATGTTGAGAAACACTTGAATTGAATAAGAATACCTCAGAGGCCTGTGAGATCTATTTCTGCAACACTCGGATTCATAGTTTTCCTTTTTAACGTATCAGGAAGTATCCTTGTTATTTAGCATAAATCTTAACGTGATTCAATACTATTGGATGTGCAGCATTTAGTGACCTATCTCTCGATTGAGAATTAACCACTATAAATTATGTGTTCTTGCTTTCAATTTCTCTGTTCATGTTATTTTTGGTCTAGGTAATATGGGATAGTGACTAATCGTAGCAAATATAATGTGTGAAGTCATATTTACAATAAAGACATGTCTACCTTTTCTTGGCCATTCATTCCAATGCTTTTGGAGTACCCAACAGAAGTATATATCTAGACATATAAGCTGGTTTAGTTCTATAGTAGCTTACTTCTGCCCGAAGAAAGATGCTCATATTGATTTTCAGTTGTAAATAAAAAATGATACATCAAAACTAACAGCTGAATATTTTGATGGGTCATATGGTTCTGACATTCAGTTATTCGAGTAATGAAGTTCCTTTGAAGAAATTCAAGCTGAAATGAACTGCAGGTGAACTCTTATCTCTATAGACTATGCTTAAAAATATTTAAAAGGTAAAAGGGTATTAAGAGAGTGCAGAATCAATACAAAAAATTGAAACGAAGGCATGGAATCATTGTATATTTCCTCATTGCAATGCATGTTCTTTCATAGATGGTGCTGGTTGAACAGCGCGGCAGTCTCTGCACGGGGTGGCAAACTGGAAAAACCTTTGGCTAAATGATTGTCTTGAGGGGCGCTTCTCATTTGTTTTATATTTTACTTCCATAATTTGTTTCTTGCCGGAATTTCTGAACTTTGACTGGTTTACATCTGATCTCCTATGGCTTCGAATTGGTGACGACATAGCTTCTAAGTCTACGCGGTTTGAAACTTGAGATTGATTTGCATGGACTTTCACCTGTGGCAGAACCTGACGATCAGAAAACAACTTATCAGTTGAAAAGTCATCGATTAAATTCCCAATTTCTGAGCTTGACTTAGCGTGCCCAAATTCAAAGTCGGGTTCATTTTTCTGCATTTTGGCAGCCGGTATGAGAAGAGGCATTGGAAGTGATTTCCTCAATTGATTTGGTGGGTGTTGGTCTTGAATGCACACAAGGCCAGCAAAAGAGAGTGATTCGCTCGAGGCAATATCTGCAGCTACGTCAGGGGCCATTTTGTTTGACATCGTGGTTGCAATGGATCTTGTGACAGGTTATTTTGCCTGATTTCTGAGCTTTTATATGAGAAACTTGGGGACATTGATAGGGTGCAATTTGGGATTCCTATTTGGCTTCTTGTATCTGTGTATTTGTATTTTACCAGTTTGCTGTGCTAACTTAAGATTCTTTCTTCTTTCATGTGTAGTTTGTAGTCAATTTCTCCGGCATTATATTTTGGATTGGCCGAATATGTTACTATGGATATGAAAATAGATTTGGTGTAGAATTTACATGGATGAAGATATATTATTGGTAACTGGACAGTTTGTTGTAAGGGCAATTTGGACCTTTTAGCATGCGTCCCCAAAAATTCTTTTAATTAGATGATACGTACGAGGTGGATTTAACATTTTGCATCCTCCGAAAGCAACTTGAAGAATTGGGTGTTATTGTGTAACACATATACCCAGTCATTTTCATTCTTTATCATCTTCTGTTTGATCAGGTGAATGTTCCAATGCAATGCATTTTATTTTTACTTATCTGCCTCTTGCCCCATTTCTTGAAACTCGTTTTTTTTTTCAAATTCATTTTTAACCACATTTTATCGGATCTGTGACTTTTTATCAACAACATATTTCACCCACTTTTATTTAGCACCCGTTTGGTTTAGCTAGAAAAATTGATTAAAATTTAAATAAAAATCGACAATAAATTTTATCTGTACATTTTATGGGATTCACAATTTTTAAAAAATACATATCAACTTTTATAAAAAATTATTAAAACTCTTATTTGTATTTAAATCAAACAAAGGCTAAAATTTATTAAAGAACTACGTTTTATCCAAACTAAAAAGGGACTAAATTTATTTTGGAGCCGTCCTAATACCCAAAATTTGTATCCAATCTACAATGTAAAATGACAAAAATGGGAGGCAGAATTTCATTGGTGGAGACATCAATACATTACCTTTATCTTACATTTCATAATCAATTACTTTAATCGATTCTGCTACATATACAAAATGATTTACACCCACGATGTGGTAAGATATGATCCAATCAAAATTTCTTAATAATAATAATAATAAAAACTACTCAACTTTCTTTTTGACACTTCATACGTACATAAACCATTATATAATATTATTATGTACAAGTAACATTATTATACTTTAATTAGCTGAAAATTGTAGGAATTGAACGTTCCTTTAGTTGTTACTATTATATCATGTTTGGCAGTGTTAGATTGAATAACTCGGGATTTATTTACCATTTTATAAATGTTGTACAGTGAACATATAGGACGATTAACATGAAAGTAGTGATGATTGAAAAACTCTTAGGAAAAATTGAGATATTTCAATAGGTCATTACCAAGTATTTTTGCCCATTGGCGTTAGCAAATATGGACCTTTTTATGGACTTCTTAGGCCATCATACGAAACAGTCCAAACTCTTGGCACGAACAAGAACAACTAGATGTGTAAATGGGCCCATCCCTGCTATATTTTTGTGGCCCATCTCAACTAATTAAACCCTAATGCAAGATGTAATCCTCATAATTGCACTCTCTAAACCTAATTAATTATTATTATGACAAAGACTACCTAACCCATTTTAGACATTATTAAGAGTTTAATAATTTAAAAAAGCAAAATCCCATCGATATCAAGAAAATCACATCAACGGCAAAATATCATATTCACATGACTATTCTTATTAATTAACTCCATTGAAAAGACTGGCAAATTAAACCCCCCAACCACCCCCAATTTTTTTAGAGTAAATCCCTTTGACGCTCCATTTGATTGTAATAATGAAATTTGGGTGGAAAGAAAATGAATTATAGAAAATTGAATTATCTAAAATTATTTTTCTGCGAATTGTCAATTAATTGTGTTTGATTGATATAATTTTTCATTTGAGAAATATTGAAATTTTGGATCTTTTGGCGTTCGTTTGACTTTGTTTTCCATGAAAATTATTTATTAAAGGAATTTTTTTTTTTACAATTATCCATAGAATTTATTTTCATTGTTATAAAAAAAAAAAAAAAACCTAGAAAACCAAATCCCACCAAATTGGTGAGATTTCATTTTCATCAAAACCAAAGAATTGGATGCGTGTGAGCCAAAACCAAGAAAATCAATTGCCAAGAAAAAAATGTATCAAACATGCTTAAAGTGGAAGATGAAATTTCTTCATTTTCCATGGAAAATTTGGGTGGATCAAACATGGCCTAAATGTCATATTATTTAAAAAGAGTAGTGTTTAATGTAAGTTTGACAATTTTGTTTAGTTATTCGAACAAATGAAATATTTTTTGAATAATTTTATCCTTTTAACAACACACGATGTTCATATCGTATGAGCGTTTAAACTACAAATATTTTATCTTTCTGTGTGTTAAAATGTTAGAGACATAGATGTCAAAAATAAAAGATATGATACGTAACTATTAGCTCGTACCATAAGCACAATGAGAGGAACTTCGTTTTTAATTGTTATCGTTGAGTTTGGAACACTGAATAGACTAAATAAATAATTTCTCTCTATCTTAATGTAAAATGGCAAAGACATAAATGTCACAAATAAAAGAGGTGGGACATAACTGTCACACTTATCGAAGGTTGTGACCCTATGGAGAAATTGACCCATTTTTTTTAAAGAACAGGACAAAAACTCAATCAGTTCACAGATATTATTCATGGGCCCCACATGTACCCAGTCATTATCCTTATCCACCACCAAGGTTTCCTTTATTTCCACCATCATTTTTCCACACACCACTCTCGTTATCTTTAATTCACTCACAAATATACCATTTTCTGGACTGGAAATAGAATTAAACAGTTGGGAAATATTGAATTCGAATTTTCTTTGACTCTGTTACGACTACTATAGGAGATATTTTACCATCAACCCTCTATTTATTCTGGCTAGACAAAGTATACTCAAGGGAAAGCAATAATGGTTCTGCTAGATCATCTCTGGGACGACGTCGTTGCCGGGCCTCAGCCAGATCGCGGCCTCGAACATCTCAAGAAAGCCTTCACCAAACCCTTGATCATCAAAGGTTCTGTCCTTTTCTTTCTCCTATACATGCATGCACTGATGCACACGAAGTGTAGCTCATTCTTTGTACTAACTAACAAGTGACTTTTGTATATTTTGTTTGTTTAGATGTTGGAGAGGGTAGTAGCAAGTACCAGAGGTCTATGTCGATGCCGGCCAGTCCGGGGACGCCGGCAACGCCTGTGACGCCAACTACTCCGTCGCCAACTGCGGCGCGTAAAGATAACGTATGGAGGAGTGTGTTTCATCCTGGTAGCAACCTTGCTACGAAAAATATTGGGACTGATTACTTTGACAAACCCCAGCCTAACTCTCCCACTGTTTATGACTGGTACGTACGTATTTTCTCCATTCTGCAAGTTCAAGGCTGCGCCTATACACACTAAAAAGTGCACAGAAAAGAATTTTATTTTTATTTTTTTCCGATTTTCATTTTATAATTTTTTTAGAAGATGCTAAGATGAATTTATTTTGTACGATACAGGCTCTACAGTGGGGAGACTAGGAGCAAACATCGTTGAAAGGTTGACGAGAGAGAGAGAGAGAGCGACAGATGGGTGTTCTGTAAATAGCGTCTTTACTTGCTCAGGCTTTGAGAGCAATTTCCACGGTTTTATGCTAAATTAATTACTGGGTTTGTTAATTAGCTGGCTTTGAGTATGATCTTCTTGTAAATATTTTGTTAAGAGAGAACTGTTGTCGGCTCCAAGATCTGGTGTAAAATGGATCTGCTGCCATGAAATAAGTGGATTGGAATTTTCTTTAATTTACTAGCAGTTTTGTGATCATCTGTGACGATTTTCTTGTTGATGTAAACTGAATTCTATGACACTGCTAATCTGCTATGCTTCCAAGGCTTTTATTCAGTTCAGTATGAATTTCTATAGATCTTCCACCTGGGCCTTGGACTTCCATATTGGTGTAATTTGATTGACCTCGACCTACAAAAGATAAATCAAAACTTATTATATATTGATTGATTAGAAGACATGAAAATTTTACCAGATTTTGCTCCATGGAAGGTCTGATACTCTCTCAATATTTCTGAAGTTTCAGTTGTTTGTAGTCTTTTATTACGAACATTCCCAATTTCATTAGCTTCCATGGCTGTCTGCATAGAAACGAATGAGTTTGATGTTTAACTGAAACAAGAAGATTCATCTCTACTTTAATAACAGAAACTCAGTACCAAAAGTGAAGAAAATTTCAATTAGCTTTCGAAGTTGCCACAGGCCCCGTTGAAACTTGCCATGGAGTGTGTGACTGAGCATGCCACTTCTCAACTGTTAACAAGGACTGCAGAGATTACTCCGTTTAGTTCTGAATCAATTTCACTATAAGCCATAGTACCCCACGTCGAGTAAAGATGAGAATGAATTAAAGTCTTAACATCCCGTTGCAAGCTGCAAATCATGAGCGCCGAACCTTTTATCTGTAGCAGGAGATTTCTGTGCAGTCATAAACCGAAGTTGAGTCTTCACCCAGCATTGCACCCATTAGCATCTCATTAGATCGTTGCTGCTCAACGACCCGAGGATTTCTTCGGTCCCCTCAAGTTTCTACAAGTGCACATTCCGTAACAAATTGTGTCATTTGATAGATATGCAAACCACTAATATCTGGATGCATAGCAGCAACTAGCACAATGTGTGCGGTAAGGACACTCATTGTTACTTCATTGAAAATTCTATACCCATAAAAGTAATCACGATCGAGCACTTATCCCTCTTTTAACATTGATTAAAAAGTCGATGTTTCTTAATTCTGCAAGAGAGCTTCAAGAGGCTTTAGGAATTTTTAGATTCTCCCATATTAACAAATTCGATCTTCATAGCAATTTGTCCAAGTTTTTAAGTTATGCATGGAACAAATTTCAATAGCACAATGTACGAGTAACATTTCAGTTGCATGAAACAGTAAAAAAGGGGCAGCTATCTAGTGGGAGTGGTTTCGGTTGTATGCCATGAGGTCCCTATGGACATGACTTTTTACATAATTTGAATCTGAGACAGGATAGTAATTGATGCTACCAAAAATTGCACCTGTCGAATTTCGAGCTTGACAACTGAGAATGAGCACGAACGTGATCCTCCGGTACTTCAAACAAAGGCATTGAAGTGTGTTTTCGTCGCACCTTTGATACTTTAAGTCAGAGAGAGAATACGAAAGAGTTTTAGTGCTGAAACTATATGAAACTATGAAAAACATTCCTAGTAAGATTACAATGTTGAAATCCCTAGGAGTTCTAACATGATTGGAAGTTGCAACTCAATTGATTTTGTATTACCTACGTGTTTGGATAGAGATGGGATTCTGGTGTTAGAATCCTTTCAGAATGAGGTAACATATTAAAAGCAGGACTTTGATTCCTAGGGTCGAATAAGTCTTGACATGAAGTAGAGTCCTAATAAATCAGGGGTTGCATGATTCGAGGCTCCGGTTGTAAACTCGAGGAAAAGCTGTTGCAGCGTGGGTGCCCGTGCTCGAGGAGACATGAAGGTCGTGCTCTAATGGGCCCTAAACTCCTCGGGGTGAGTGCTCGGGCTAGCTCCTAATATTGCTATCATCACTGGCCCTCGTGCATCCATGCCAGAGCCCCATGCTTGAGATTTTGGGACGTGCACATTGTAACTTGGTAGGAATGATTACCCTTTTTGTGAGCTCGATCGACCTGGAGAAAGGGAAGGAAAATTCTTGAAAATGGGGCTGATCAGCCTTTGAAATGGACTGATCAGCCTATGGAATGGGTAGTGCTTAAGGAATGGTGAGCCAACTAGGCACGTGACAGCGCGCTGCATGGCTTCAACATTTGAGCCAATGATTACCTTGGGTGGATTATTGCCACGTGGCATGGGATGGAGGGCTTGGATTGAGAGACATTTGGCCTCCTTAGAATCCTATAAATACCCCCCTACCCCACCTCATTTGGCACTTTTCACTCTTCAAATACTCCTCGGACCACCTCAGGTTTAGGCTTAAGGTAAGAAAACGTGCCCTGTAGATAATTTAAGTTTTTAATTTCCAAAGATGTCTAGTAGTAGTAGTTCAGGCTCGGGCTCAATGCCCGAGGAAGGTCATTCCCTTATTCCTTTCTCCATCCCCATTGAATCTCGATTTAATAATAGGTATAAGGAGCACGAGGTGATAGGAATAGCTTAAGAATTCGGGGTAATGCCCTTGTGCGATGTCCGTCTCCCCGAGCCTGAGGACAGGGTTACTAGTGCTCGAGAGGGTGAGATAGCCGTTCATAGGGAGGGACGAAAGGGGGGATTTAGGTGGCCCCGCCATCCCTTCTTCATTGAGTTTTTAGTTGAGCACGATATGTGCCCCAGACAACTAGTTCTTAATGGATGGAGGTTGCTCGTTTATTTTTTCATAGCTTGTAGGTATTTGTCCATTCTCCCTAGGTTAGACCTGCTCAGGATGGTCTTTAAGTTGAAGACTCTCCCGAGCTTTAATTGCTTTGTATATTTGTCTTTCCGAGGAGAGTTCAAAGTCCCTAAAATGCCGAGCTCTCTTAAAGGATGGAAATCCAAATATTTTTTTATTCAACCCCAAGACACCAACCACCCATTCAGTCCTCGGTGGACTGTCCCGAGCACAGAACGCTTTGATGGGGGCCTGGTTTATTTCGAGGTATTAGAAACGGATAGACAGAGCATGACCCAGCTCGAGCCCCTATCATATAGCATAGATGATCTCTACTTTAATAAGAGAAACAAGAAGATACATCTCTACTTTAATAGAGTTTGATATTTAAGTGAAACAAGAAGATACATCTCTACTTTAATAAGAGAAACTCAATACCAAAGTGAAGAAAATATCAATTAGCATTCGAAGTTGCCTGTTCTCGGCTAACTTGGCACAGGCCCCGTTGAGATTGCCATGGTGGGTGTGACTGAGCATGCCACTTCTCAACTGTCAACGGGCCTGCAGAAATTACTCCGTTCAGTCCTGAATCAATTTCACCATAACCTGACCTTTTTAAGGGATAAAATCCCACGATGAAAACATAAACCAATTTATAAGGGGTCGGGTTGAAATCCAAATCTTAACACCCCGTTGCAAGCTGCAAATCATGAGTACCGACCCTTTTATTTGTAGCCGAAGATTTCTGTGCAGTCATAAGCTGATGTTGACTCTTCACCCAGCATCGCGCCCATTAGCATCTCATCAGATCATTCCTGCTCAACAGCCCGAGGATTTCTTCGGTCCCCTCAAGTTTCTACAAGTGCACATTCCGTAACAAATTCTGTCATTTGATAGATATGCAAACCACTAATATCTGGATACTTAGATGGTGTTTGAAACCCATTTTTTGGAGAATGAAATTTTTGGAATAGTGATTAATGGGAGATTATGTAGTGGAAAAGTTATCAAAAATTTTAGATTTGTGTGTAATATTATTTTATTAGAAGAATATGTGGTTGAAATGAAGAGAGAAAAAATGAGAATGAGAATTAGATAAAAATGGGTGTCAAACAGGGCCTTAGTAATATTTCTAACAGATACCTAGCAGCAACTAGCACGATGTGTGCGGCAAGGACACTCATTGTTCCTTCATTGAAAGTTCTATACCCATAAAAGTGATCACGATCAAGCACTTATAACATTGATTAAAAAGTCGAAGTTTCTTAATTCTGCAAGACAGCTTAAGGAATTTTTAGATTCTCCAATATTAACAAATTCAAACTTTATTGCAATTTGTCCAAGATTTTAAGCTATGCATGGATCAAATTTCAATAGCACAATGTACGAGTAACGTTTCTGTTGCATGAAACAGTAAAAAAGGGGCGGCTATCTAGTGGGAATCATTTCGGTTGTATACCACGAGGTCCAATGGACAAGACTTTTTACATAATTTAAATCCGAGATAGGATAGTAATAATAGAACTTCGTACCATTAGAAAGGTGTGAAGCAATCAATCGTACAGGTGCGCTCCCCTTTTTAACAAAGTCATTGACATTCTTTTGGTCGACGGCCTAGGGGGCGGGATACCTAACGTGTTAATTACAACACTGCGCGTACTTCGTACGAATTTTTTGAGCAAATCATACCGAAAAGGACCAAAGATATGCTGCCGACTCCAATACTGTTTTGATCGATCGGCTTCTATGTATGCGGTTAAATAAATGGATATGAGTTCTTAATTTAATGGATTGTGATTATCATTTGATGATTGTTTCGTTGAATAAATAGATTTTAAATAGTACACACGCAGCAGATCTACACCAATTTACTGACGTGGATTGGCAGCTCTACTAAATATATATCAAAATCTATGCCTCCAAAATATTAATTAAAACACATAATTATTGAATATCTTTCGAGAAATATAGACAGGAATTTATTGGACTGATCTTAGACGGCACTTAAACTTTATGAGCCTAGGGATAAATACTATAATTACTTAATTTCTACAACTATACAATTTTCAAATTTTCAAAAACTAAAACACTACTTTAAAAATATGAGGTGTTAAATTCTTGTTAGATGAACCAAGACTCAAAATAACATATT